TGCCGTCGGCCAAGCAATGTCGGCTGGCGACCCCCAGGGGGAGGGCCTTCTCTGTGGGTGCCCCCACCCTCTGGAACGAACTACCCCCCGAGATCCGGACGATCCCGGATCTCCTAACCTTCCGCCGCGCCCTCAAGACATGGCTTTTTCAGCAAGCGGGACTGACCTAGGGTGAATTTTAAATAGGGAAATTTTTTAAAGATTTTAATAATGTCACAGCTATAAATATTTGGTTTTAATTGGCTTTTAAAGGGGAAATGTTTTTGTGTTGTTTTAATGTGCTGTGAGCCGCCCTGAGTCCCGTGGGGAGAAGGGCGGCATACAAGTTAGTGTTAAATAAAAATAAAAAATAAATAAAATAAATATATAAATGTGCATGTTGTTCTATGCTAGGCTGCTTCACTATTTTTATAACTTTAAATGGTCGATAGTTTTGCCTTTGCGACTCATATATAGAGCAATAGTCTTTTTAAAGTGTTCCTTGAAATATATTTAAGATGTTTACACTGCTGGGGTTTTAAAACAACTATCCTTTCATCAATTTGTGCTAAAATAATGCATATTTTTTTTTTATTCAAAACTAGGAATAGGGTTATCTATAGGATGGATTATTTTGTTTTCACTTACCAGTCAGAGGAAAATAGGGTAGGGAGGGTTTTCAGTCCAGATTAAATTAGTATTTGTAAAACCTACTAATTCAAACAATAAAAAATAACCATGAATGGATCATAAAGCTGTACTTTTATTTATTTTAGGATTTGAGTTTGTTACATAAATTAAACAACAATTCATGTGCATTTCCTTACATAAGCGTAATAAGCTCATTTAGAAGTTAGGAAATGGTGTCATTTAAGCTAAAGAGACAAGATTTGAGATATCTTATTGTACCATATGGAAAGGGAATTTACCAAGGGAAAAATAGACCAAAATAGGAGGAAGAACAGAGCCTATAACAATAATTTATTGGGGAAAAGGTGCTTTTAATTCAGTTCTGAACTAAATTAAATACCTGCCCATGTCAATCCACATATATGTGCACTTGCAGTGTATGACTTGAACAAATCTGGGATAATCCTAATTGAGCAAAATGGGACTTCAAGTTGCATAAGACTGTATGTAATGATGAATGTTTTCAGTTCCATGCTGGATGCTTTTTGAAATAATTCCTTCTCCCCTTTCTACCCAGAAACATTAGAAACTTTAGATGCTACTACCAAGATCCCTCCTTATCAGTTAAGGTAGGAAATACATTTTTTTTTATTTTTTGGTTATGACTGACATTTGAAATGAAAGAGTAAAAGTCCTTTCTGTTTTACATTTGCTGACTCTTGAAGTCAGTGTAACATTGCTATGAACCAAAGATGTAAGCAAGCTGACCCATTGGTCAAGTTTTCCATTTTCCTACATAGTTATGTATTTATGATTCCGAGATGCGCAAGAATGTTTGGGTATATAGACTGCTTCAAATATGATGGGAAATATTGTGTTTGTAGTTGCCAGGGTACTCCCTTCCTCTCTCTCAAATTCTGTAAAACCTCAGCCCCCAAAATCAACAAGAACATCACATCTATTGTAATAGGGGAAGGATAAAGGAAATGAAGATATTAATTTAGAAGCTTTTGAAGTGCCTTTGTGAAGTGCATTTCAGTGCTATCCAAATTAATGCTGCCATTGTCAACGCACATTATTATTGCTTGTTTTGGTAATAGTAATTCCATAATCAGAGAAGGGCAATTCTGCAAAATCCCCATGGTCCAAAGTTTGCGAAACCCTAAAAGTCACAAATTACATAAAGAAATGGAAATGGGCAAAATTAAAAGCTCAGAAAAGATTATGAATTATGCCTCTCTTTCTAATAAATTGTTTGAAAGTAGACACCAATTTTGTACTGCATGCCCCATTCTTGCTTAGGAAGATGTGACTTGGTTAATATATTGTTTAATCATAGCGTGTGGAATGAACCACCGTTGGCCAGGCTTATTCATAAACCATAGCTTTCACTCACAGGAGCTGGGTTCATACAACATATTAAGCCATAAACAAAGCAATAGTGTTATTATTAAAGATGATAATAGTGTTATAGATAATGATTCATAATGCATGAACTTAGATGATGTGCAAGCTTTGGGAAATATTAAAATATCATTAGGTAATAACAGTGGCAGGATTAAGACTATAGAAGCAGTGGAACAAATATTACAGATCTGACACGAAGTTCTAGATATATTTTTGTCTTTGGGTCCATAGCTTTGACATATTTCTGATGGTTAGAAGGCCTTGGGTTATGGAGAATATCACAAAAGATATCTCCATGCTCTCTTTCTTTGTTATTTCCTATTTGCTTGCTGGCAGAACTGTTCTCTGGATTGATATTGATCTACAACAGAGTGAAATGCTGTCCTGCTATTTTGTTAAAAGTCCAGCTTAAGTGGCTACTTATTAGCATTTATGGAAGATGAAGTGCAACTTATAGAGATAGATAGATAGATAGATAGATAGATAGATGGGTGGGTGGGTGGGTGGATGGATAGATAGATAGATGATAGATAGATAGATAGATAGATAGATAGATAGATAGATAGATAGATAGATAGATAGATAGATAGATAGATAGATAGATAGATATTTCTGTTCAATTGTGTCCTATTCTTAGAAGCTCCCTGGACAATTCCTGCAGTTTTCTTGGTAAGCTTCTTCAGAAGAGGTTTGCCATTGTCTCCTTCTAGGGCTGAGAGAAACTGACTAGCCCAAGGTACCTAGCTGGCTTTGTGCCTAAGGCAGGAATAGAATACAGAGTCTCCCAGTTTCTAGCCTAGAGTCTTAACCACTACCTCAAATTGGCTCTCTACATAGGTGAATATATTACATCTGTATTAAAACAGAAGCAAGGAAGAGCTTCTTTCATAACTGGTAATAACTTCTAAGTCATTTGAAATTTCCCTCTCTAGGAAGCATTGTGCCCATAAAAATAACCATTTTTTATGAGAGCAGAACTGGCTTCAAGATTTCTTATTTTCTGTATGAGTTTGTTTCCTGACCTTTTAACTGTGGCCTTAATAGATGAAAAAGAAGAAGAAAAATCTAAATCTTTCTCTATCACATCATCATAACATGGTGAATTAGTCTTAACATTGTTAGCCATGTGCCATTTCACATTATGAAACAAATCGTGTTCTGAAATGTTGTGTCATTGCCTTTAGCTTTGGGCAACATTTTCTAATACTGTAGTTCTAGATTACCTAGTTGTTGTTTTTTTTAAAAAAGTATGTCAATGATTGCTTTTGCTTTGGTTTCCATCTGCAGGTTTTGTTGTACAATAAAGGCTAAATCCAGAACTACCTTTTTTTTCTCTAACAAGTAGGGTAGGCAATTTTGAAGATTGTCTGAGCTTTTGCAGAAGGTGGGTAAAAGCTATGGGAGTTGCATGCAGCTTTTGTAAAATTGGTTCAGGTTGTTAAAAAATATGAAGACAATTTGGTTTCCTTCCTTCACTTTTAGTTTTCTAATGTTTTTCATTTTGCCAGAATTGTGCATCTAGAAGTGCTTTTCCCCACCTCCTTATTTCATGCATCACCAATGGCTTCCACTTAATTGCTTTAACATTTACCAAGATGATCTGGTAATCTTTGATAGCCTTCCATGAAACTAATTTTTTGCTAACTTTGTTTCAGTTTCTACTGTCTCCTTTTTTAATTCCAAATACTTTAAGCAATCTGACTTGAGGTAATCTGACTAATTCAGACAATCCATTGCATATTGTTTATTAGGCTTATATCTCTCTCTTCCTTAAAGAGCTCAAGGTAGCATCCATAATACTCTCTTACCCATTTTTCTCCTAGCAGCAATTTTGTGATGTAGGTTGTACTAAGAAAAAGCATCTGGCCGAAAGTCACTTATGAGCCTCCATGGCTAAGCGTAGAGTAGAACCTGAGTTTCCTTGGTCCTAGTATGTATAGCTACAATGATAAATAAGATACTTATTCAATAAGAAGAATGAAATAATAGTTCAGTGTTTTGAAGACATAGCAACAACTGAATTTTATTCAAAGAAATGGAGATTTCCAAAGATGTTCTTAGACTAGTATTCTGTATGTCAGTTGAAGTGGGCTGGGATTTTAGAAATTTCATGCTATAATTCATTTGTCTATTTTACAGTTCACAATCCCTTTTGTTTGGTTTCGTTTTATATTCTCCATTGCACTGTTAAAATTCAGACTCTGGCATTTTGAAGCTACAGTAGTTGAACCATCTGATGGGTCAAATTGTAGAATGAAGAGATTAGGGGATAAAACTTTAGCTGATAAGGGCAAGAAGTATCTAATTGGTATTTAATCGCTAAATGCTGTGATGGGAATAAAGAAGGTCCCATAACATTAATCAGAGCTTTGGCTGAATCCTCTTCCTGAGAATAAGAGGTTAACTAATTGATTTAGGTTGAGGTTTTTAATCTACTTCACTATAATAGTGTACTCAGGTCCAAATAGGGCCAACCATTTCAGATGACCACTAGATGGTAACAGAGAAATAGAGTTTTCTCTATCGCTTTGCTTCCATCTAATAGTCATCCAGATTTCTTAAACCTAACTAGTTCCATAGTTTATCAATGGACCAGTTTTATCATTTAAAATGTTGTATCTGTACCTGAAGGGCCTTCTGACAATCAATGTGTTTGCAGATTTTAGTTGTAATACACTATATCAGTTTTATTAGAATCCACTTGTTCCTTTGCCAGATGGATATCTAGATGATTTCCATACAGTAATAATTTTTGTTCCTAAAGGCACAATAAATATAGCAGAATCAAGCTAGAATTTCCAAACATGTTCAGAATCTACTTATACTTTTTGCTTTGTTGCTTTTCTTTTCTTTTATACTCGATGTTAGAAAGGAAGAATGGGTTCAGAAATCATTTTCTCATATTATCTTTTCAAATCCAGCCCGTAGACTTTAATATCTAAGAGGATATGCCAGCATCAAAAATCAGATGTTAGGGTATTTGAAGTTTATAGTAGTAGGGATAGAGGCTTGAATGCTGAGTCTTTTGGTTCTTGCCTGAATAATCCAGCTTTGTTGTTGATGTTGAAAATAAGAACGGATAAATTCCCATTCCCCCGGTCATATCTCATATACTTTTAGCTAAAATTAACGGCCAAAAAGAGCCATATTGTTTCATGAAATGAATTACCTGCTTTTTATACCTCTTTGATACCAGCGAAAGACAGCAGACTGTTTATTATTATGTTTATAACATTATGAGGAATTGCTCTCTGTTAACATATGAACAGTGCTGTCAATACTGCTATGTCATTCTCCAAATCAGTTTGCTGTAGCTTTCACATTTAGAGAAATACAACGTTGTTCCATCCCATTTTGTAAATTAATACAACTATGCCACATTTGAAACTCTGATCATGATCAGGCTTAAAAAATGAGTATTAAACTGACTTTATTGAAATATAAATTGAACTAATATCATATCCATACTCTTAACAGAATATCAGCATGTTGGAGCAGTATTCCATTTGATTATCATACATTGATTGCTGTTTTTGCATTACATTCATATCAAACTGGAATCTAACTCTTAAAAGGGTCATTTTTATAATTTAAAAGTGGACATCATCCAAGATAGTTTATGTGTTGTGCAAAAGCATTAAACAAAAATCCACCAGGAGAAGGGCGGGATATAAATACAATAAACTTCAAACTATCAAATATTGACAAAGAAATTCCATAGTACTATATAGATTTCAAGAATTTTGCAGAAATTATTGGCTATATGGAATTGTTTGGTAAAGAGATAATTTCTTTTTGTAATGGAAGAGAACAACAGCTCTGTAGTCAGAATAACCCACTAGGTTAAAAAAAAGTCATCTAATTTTCTAAAATACATTCTAAAATACATTATACAACTGTTCTATTCAAATGTAACAGTCTTCTTCTGACACATCCATTTGGAGGCTGTAAACCAGGGGTGTCAAACTGCCGGCCTACGGGCCAGATGCCTCATAGCAAAACTGCACCCACCCCATTGCCGGCAATGGCAAAAAAGTCACGATACGTCATGACACGTCACATGACATTGTGAGTTTGACACCCCTGCTGTAAATGTAGATATATTTTTTTATTTCTTTGTCAGAATATTCAGCTTTAAATCCTGGCTCAAACGTTGTCTTGCTGAATCACAATTAAGATGGGTTGTTGATCTATCCCTTGATATCAGTTAAAGAAACAAAGAAAAGGACACCAAAGAGGAAAATAACTATAGGAATTGTATAATTTTGTTGCCTGTAATTGAGCAAATGATCATAGTGAAGAGGCTGATAGCAACATAGCTGCATCAGCACCTTTTGTCATTCGTGTATGGATCAAAGGGGCTATAGCACAAGTAAAATAAACTTTGAAAAATTAATCATAAAAACACAAGCTACTTGATTTCTGAGTTCTAAAGAAACCTCTCTTTCTTTGAAAACTAGGGAGAAGTGCCTCCTTCCGCTGCAACTTGCTTTGGAGAGCAAGAATATGAAACTGGCACAGCAAGCTCTAGCAGGGATGCAGGTGAGTGGCTAAGGTTTGACCACATTCGGAGTTTTTGAGTGAAATAAGAAGTTGACAGGAAAAGTGAAGGATAAGAAAGCTTAATTATATAATTTAAAAGCATGCAGGCCCATGAAATGAAATGGAAGATAAGCAAGACTATGTATTAGGGCTAATCCTGGGCAAAACCTTTACAAGTGGTTGTAATGTAGCCTTCCTCAAATTTTATGCTCTCAAAATATATCTGCTTATAAGAAAGCATTCTCAGCCATCTTTCTTGGGAGTTGTACACTGACACTCTCCCAGTTGGGAAACAATGCTGCAGTGAATATTTATGGAGCAATAAGGAGTCTTTCATCTCACAAATGAAAGGTGGACTGGTAAGTGTTGTAGGTCTCATATGCTTGTCTAATGAATCCTTTAAACAAAAGCCCTTGGTACACCAAGGTATACAGATGTTCCATCTTGGGATAATTGATGGTTTCATACTTTTAAGATGGAAAAAAACCACCTCTGGATGAATGAAAGAGAGGAGAAACTTAGTAACTCATCTTTTTTTTTTTTTTTTTTAGAAAAGTCCAGAATGTTAGTCTGACCAGTATTGAATGAGTGGATTGGTCGGCATTCTAAGGGCAAAGTTCAGTGCTGCACTTGCCTTTAAAATTTACCATTTCTTTATTGTTTGGTTAGTAAACTTATCCTTAATTCCTGCTGGCAAAATTGAATCTTTTAGTTTAGATGATCGTGAAAATATCTCCCTGGTCCCAGAACTAGAACTCACCTTCTGATTTTATTTACCTTATCTGAATTATAAAGGTTTTTCCTCTTCATACTACAACAGGAACTATGAGCTTCACTCTGTCTTGTGATAGGCATTGCATGCATTAAATAGATTTTACTATTCCACCAAAGCTTGCTTCCTGTTACAGGGTTTGGAAAGGAAGGTAATTTACTAGTAAATATTATGTTTATAACAACATTATGGGAGAACCGAATGGAAAACCTGTGACATTAAACAGTTCCATTTTTCTTTGCAGAAGCTGCTATCTGATGAGCGATTTGTATCCATGGAAACTGACTCTGATGACAAGCAGTTGCTTAATCAAATGCTGAATGCAGTCAGAGTGACTCCATCTCTCAATGAAGACCTGCAGGTAGAAGTGATGAAGGTTAGTGTTTTACAGACGTCATTACTTGCTTGTTTGCAGGACAAGCTTCCTATCTGACTCAGCTCTGTAGCTCTGGAGTCAGTTGTGTCCCTTGATTGAATTATTTTATGCCACAGTACAAAGCTAGCTCTTATGCAGTTGTCTTATTCTTTACTAATGTAAGCCTGGATCTGCAGGACTTTACCTGTGTTATTTTTTATTCATGTGAAAAGTAATTTTCTTCTTAGTTGAAAGTCTGCCGTCCCTTTTCCCCAACCTTGGCTAACGAATGCTCCAGGAATTATCTAGTTCTAGTACACATTCTATTTGCTCCAGGCCAGGGGTAGACAACCTTGGCTCTTTTATGACTCGTGGACTTCAACTCCCAGAATTCCTGAGCCAGACTGGCTCAGGAATTCTGGGAGTTGAAGTCCACGAGTCATAAAAGAGCCAAGGTGGCCTACCCCTGCTCCAGGCCATCCCTGTTCCTAACTTCTAGCTAAGTTATGCATGATGTCTAGTTCTTTGTTACTCATATCAGTCCTCTAACCACATAGAATTGATAAAAGTGTTACACGTGCATATTCTCTGTGAATAAACATTTTTTGTTCTTGTCAGACAGACTTAACAATTACAGGCATCCCATAGCCTTGCTATGTTTTAGCAGACATCTCATCACTGTTGTTTCCAGACTGCACTCGGATATGAGGGAAAAACAAAGTGGACGTCCCTCCAAGTTCTGGAGAATTATGCTGAAATCCTATTCTGTTGTTTGCCAATGGCAGAGACAATCAGAATCATCACTGTCCTTAATAAACAAGGGTGGAGAACACTTTTAGTTGTTTGCTAGACTAAAGTAATTTTAACCAAATTGTGTAAATGGATATACTGTATTATCTGCCTAAAAAACCAAAAAAGAACATTTCTTGGGCTCCTCAAAAGTCCCTCACTTTAGTGGAAGAAATGTTTACTTCCAAATCTCTGGCAAACTTCTGCACCTGAATTTATATGTGGAAAACTGTAAATACATTGAATATATTGAATGCACTCTGCTACTCCTAGAAATACAGTTTCATTACTGTGAATTAAATTAGTAGTAGTGCTGACCTGGCAAGCAGCCATATGCATTGGAAATGAGAAAAATATCAATATAACCTTGTTCTGCTGACCGTTACCATGGCAGTTCCTTGCTGGAAGACTGCATGTCTGGAGAAAAATAAAATTATGATAGTGTACTTCCTTTCTCTAAGACGTGTATGTCATTCAACCTACTGAGACTATATAAAATTTGAAGAACAGGATGCTTTTATGCTCCCATATCTTCCAAAGCACTTCTCTGGAATCATGTTTGAAGCATGTGGATACATTGCCTTTCACACATGCAATGGTTTTTACATTGGTAGATCACAATTATGTTCAGAAGAGGTCCACTTTCACATTCTTTTAGGTGTTTGAATTCAATGCAAAATAGTTATAATTCAGTAAGCTGTCTTGATATATTCCGCTTCCTCAAAGAAACCCATTTTTATTTTTTTTTCCATAGTTTAACTTTGGTTTTGAAGTTTAACAAGAAGATGGTTGGAAAGGATTGAATTGAAATAGCTTCTTTTTTTTCCGAAAAAAAAGTAGAATGATTGAAGAGGTTGTCATTCCTTTCTACCAGTGGTGGGATTCAAATATGTGAATAACTGGTTCTCTGTGTGGATGCCGCTTCTGGAAGTCCATTCTGGGCCTGGGCAACAAAAAAATTGCTACCAGTTCTACCAAACTGGTATAAACTGGCTGAATCCCACCACTGCTTTCTACCAATTCAGAAGCCACCAGTTTGCTAGATATTCTGGAGTGTTATGTTGGATTGGAGAAGGAGTGGCAGAACCTGGGGGCAGAGTTAAAAGAAGGATCAGCCTTCCTTATCTAGCCACAAGCAACTAAGTCCAACCCCCTCCCCCTTGAATTCCATTCACCCTTATCTAATTCCGAGCAGGTGCTAACCATTAGTTGAGAAGATTCTAGTGCATAGGCTTTTGAGCAGTAAATCAGTTTAATCGGACCTTCACATGAGGGCCTGTTTTTTCACACCTGGCTAGGACTTTAGAATACTCCAACCCAATAATGTTATTTTCTGCTCTTTTCAAAGTCAGTGTTTCAAATGAAAATTAATTAAATTTTGCTTAAATTCTCAAATCCTTCTTATTTCTAATATTTTTAAATTTAAAAAGTAAGGATATCCCGGAGGATATCTTCATAAATAGAGAGCTTACATGTAATATTCCTTGTCTACTATGCAATTAGCAATTAAGCTTTAGCTTTTCAAAACTATGGAGCATCTGAGAGTATAGTTCTAAATATTCAAGGTGAGGAAGGTCTATGTGCAACTTTTCAGGAATTTGGGAAAGCAAATCAATAAATGTGACTTGTTTACATTATTTTGAAAAGGACCAGAAGAATAACGTGTTTGTGGGCAATCAATCCTGATTTAAAAAACAATGAGAGATTAAGGCACTTATTTCTTACATTCTGGGAATTAGGTTTGTGGGTTCCTATGTTGGGGCTAATCCGAAACAGAATGTGTATTTTGAACAGAGCTAAAGTGTCAACTCTGTTATATACTTACTCCGTTAGTTTTTATTTGACATTGATGTTTTATGACTGTGTCCATCACAGCAGACATTTTATGATTCAAAGTGTCATTTCCTCTTGTAGCATTCATTGGGTAACGGTGTTCTTAATAACTTCTCAAAATTCTAGATGTCTCATCGAGTCAAAAAGATTGATATGAAAGCTCTGTTTAGGATTTGTTATAATCATTTGGCTAGATTTACATTTTTAAAAAAAAAATCCATTCATTTTATGTTAATATTGTCAACTTTGGGCTGTGAGATGTCTGCAAAAATTGCTCAGTAGACAGTAATTTTGCTCATAAACTTTCCAGATCACTTTATCAACCTAGCAGTAAAACTGCTAAATTGTGAACATGGAAGTGTTCTGCCAAGAAAATGGACAACTCTCTGGTAGAGAAGAGACTTGACTGGGTTGTTGGGTATATTTTTTCCTTGATTTGACTTGTTCCAACTTCCCACATTATCCTCAAATGTAAAAGAGCTGAGAAAGCAGTTGCATGCAAAGAAAGATGAAAATAACTAATTAATCCCAGCTCAACTATTTCCCTGAACCAGTGTCAGGAGTGATCTTTTCTAGTATTTATGAGCTATTTCTTCTTTACTGTTAATTAAAGTGATAAAGAATCTCTAGACTGAGATGATGACTATATACACTGATAAACTGTTCTTTGTTTTTTTACTCTGACTCTGGAATAATTAATCTTCATAAATTTAGTAGGTCTCCTGTGTCATGCAGACATGGAATAAAGACTCCATTACAAAGTGAATAAACAGTTACCTAGACAGAAGTGGGATAAAATAAAAATGCATTTTCATGGAGAAAATCTATCTATGTGGTCGTCAGGAGTTGAAAATGACTTGATGACACATAAATCAATCAATACCTGCATTTATTTGATGGGTGTGTTAGTTGATTGTCTCTTTCAAGAAACATTAATCTTTCCTTAACCGAATGGAAGTAGAGATGCACTGTTATTGATTTTCTGTGTTGACTAGGATTCTCATGTTATTTATTGTACAGAATTTTTCAGTCACTTTTCATATGCAGTGAAATTTAATTACATTACAATGAAACAGATTCTGCTGGATTTTCTTCCATTTAAATCTTTTCATAGATTCAGCTTTGCTGTGATGAATACATCCTGATCCTATCTTTGCCTGTTTAGATATAAATAATACTGGCGTGTTCAGTAAGATTTCCCTCTCCCTTCCAAAACCTCCCCTCACTCATAATATAATATTCAAAAAGTAATGTTAATATATTATGTACTTAACTGCAGTGAATTTTGGTAAAAATAGACTTGAGAACAATAGTATATCATTTAGATGTGTATATCAGATTGTGATGGGAGATAAAATAAATGCTCTATTAAGCCGCATTTAAGCTCATAATATTCTTTATCCTTTTTGTGAGGTTCAAGATACTGCAGGGTAGCTAAGAGTGGCTTTGCAGTACTGAAAGACATTTCTGTTTCTACAAGGTGGACCGTTTGACGTTTGCAAATCTCCTCTCCTACTCAGTTACAATGTTTACAGTACTCTGGAAATGTCAAATGTCATTTATAATTACTTCCTTGTTCTGTCAGACTGGCAGAACAGGAATTGCAGTATTTTTACTTACCTAAATCACTGTTGTAAAATATTTGGCATTTCCCAAGTCACTGTTTAAAAGTGCTCCTTGAAAATCCACAATCCTGAATCTATATATTCATTTGGGCTTTTGAAGAATGTGAAATATTGATTCAGAGAAGATGTCTAAATGTTACCTCTGAGGCAGTTTCCCATTACAGGACCAAACTAGCTTTAAACTAAGCAATCAATATGATCAACCCAGGCCAGGGATAATAAGTCTGCTAATGACAATAGTGCCATTCATGCAGAAAAAGTAGCTCTAGTTGGCCTGTGTTCAGTAGCATTTACCATGTATGTGTGAGGAGGGAGGGAACAGAAGAGTCAGAATGGTAGGCACAGCAACACAGTTGAAGGACCACTTCTTTTTTACATGCCTTAATAACATATGCATGTCCAAATGGCGGGCTTCAATAATGTTGCTGCAACTGCCATTTTTAACCATTTTTAAGTGTTAACTTTGTTAGGCTACATAATGTTATCCTTCAGGTACACTTAATTTTATTTAATTAATTGTAAAAATTGCACAAGTGCATGGACTTCCGGAAGTGGTGTCCACGCACTTCGAGTGGGCCATTCTAAGCCTGGGAGGCTTCCGTGGCTCAGAACAGACTTCTGGAAGTGGCATCCACGCACTTCCGGTGGGCTGTTCTGGACCTGGAAGACCTCTGTGGCTCAGAACGGACTTCTGGAAGTGGCGTCCACACACTTCTGGTGGGCCATTCTGGGCCTGGGAAACCTCCTTGGCTCAGAATGGACTTCTGGAAGTGG